CATCTGTTTATAGCACCAAATACACTGCCTACCTTTCTGCTTTCTGTGTGGCAGATCCTTCCAGCAGGTACTGGAGAGGAGGTGTGGTTTGTTCCCAATTAGCATCACTGGAAACACCTGAGCCCAGTGTGCCAATGATCTGTAAAAGCCCTCAGAGCTCAATTACTGTGTCTCTCCTTTGTAAGAGGCTGTTTTTGGTTGTAATTGCTCCTTAGTTTGTTTTCTTGCACTAAATAATGTTGCATCCACCCCCAACAGGACTGACTTCATACACCATAGTTAGTTTTTATTCTTTCTTTATGTTTCTTTTATTAAAAATAAAAAGTTTCTTTGTTGGCAGTTGTGTGCTTCTCCATTTCTGTCATGGCAGTTCAACATCGCTGATGTAATATTTTGACGTTAAGTGTTTCTGATTTAGTTTAGAAGGCTATATAAATGCAAGATTCCTACAGAGGCTGCCATTAATTTTATTTATCCATTTATCCATCCATTCTCTTCCACTTATCCTTTTCAGGGTCGTGGGGGGCTGGAGCCTATCCCAGCTGTCTTAGGGCAAAAGGCAGGGTACAACCTGGACAGGTTGCCAGTCTGTTGCAGGGCTAACACATAGACACATACAACCATTTGCACTCACATTGGGCAATTTAGATTTTTTCTATTAGCCTAACCCCACTAACTGTGTGTCTTTGGACTGTGGGAGGAAGCCAGAGAACCCTGCAGACATGGGGAGAACATGCGGGTGTGTTTTGTACCATCATCTAACACAGTAACACAATAACTAATGAGTGATAAGAAATGTATGATCCATCTAGAAGGCTCACTAGCTGATTAGCAATATTTGCTCTATCTAGCTTGAATTCTTTCTCTGGTGTTTTCACATCTGTTTTAATGACTCGCTCACACTGTTTTTCTGTAACACTATGTTTTGCCACTAATTCAAATGTCAGTAAGTAAACAGTTGTAATTCTTCCACTTTCTGAGTTGGTCCATAAATTCCAAATTATTTGCCCTTACATGTAACGTGGCATTTATGAATCTTACGAAAGAATCCAAATGTTGGGATTATTCAAAATGACCCATGAAGTAAAAAAGGCAGCTTGGGATGCTCTGGGAAGTTCTACATTTTTGTTTTCTAAAAAACAAATAAAACATGCTTGTGTATCTTTGTGTTGAACTTGTTTACCTCTAAATGTTGCAAACGTATATGTTCTTGTACACATATTTTTTGAAATGCATATTCTTTATATTTAAGATAAGAAACATGTACGACATACTGTATGCATGCACAGACACAGCTGTGTATTCAGCTTTTGTCTCCTTTTTAAAGTTCTCGACAGTTCAATGGTAAAATCTTCAGACCCACTCTGAATAACTGAGGCTCTGGTTGCTATGGTGATGGGGAGAATAGGTCCCAGTTGTGTAATGTCTACGTTGACACAAATCACAGAGGGGTTTCTGGATTTCTCGTCTCACATATACACCCACAAACAGCTGTGTGTGTTCACTGCATAGACCTCCAGCTGACCACTACCTGTCAGGAAGAAACCCGAAAGAACCAAAGAACATTTTCCCGTGACCTCAAACCTACCTGTGCAGATGGGCTCGTCGCCACTCCACTGTCGGTCACCCTGACAACGGCGAATAGTGGCATCCATGCCGCTGGGCAATGTGAATCCTGGCTTGCAGCGCACTTCAAGCAGGGCAGAAAAGGAGTGAGTGGGAGAGAGGAGGCGAGCTTCTGTGTTTTCACTGTGGGGTAGAGGCCAGGGACAAGTACGACCTGAGGATGAAAGAGATGGTCCAGAGAGAGGAGAGAAAACAAGAGGCAGGGAACAAAACAATTCAGAGAATGTGCAGGAGACAAATGAAAAGAGCACAAATGAGGCTGTATAATGAGTCTGGATACACGCACAGTGCTCCCTTTTACAGCACAGAAGCATAATAAAAAGCTTCTGTTCAGCACTGGCATAAGGCTTTTATTTTATTTTCCATCAAGAAACACACACACACACTGATGTATGTTGGCACAGCTGCGTATGCGTACGCATTTGCACACACACACACACACACACACACACACACACACACCCTTTTAATGGCTGAGCCCACAATGCTTTTCAAAGTGAGAACTGACAGCACACATGCATACAAATAGTTACCTGGAGCCACACAGCTGAGACCACACTGGCCGTCACACAGACACTGGCGTTTGCTGCCACAGTCACTGTCAGCTTTGCAGGGTCGTGGACACGTCCTCCTTCCCTCCTCTCCCACAAGCCTCTCCGGACATGACCCTGTTGTGATACCCACACACTGTTACACAGTAATTGCCCCTTTGTTTACTCCTATTTCATTCATGGCCCCCCATAAAAAAAGGGGAAAAAAAAGACAAACGCTGTGTCGTAAAGAGATTTTGTTTGCCAATTCTGCTCTGTTTTCTCTGTGAAGGAAAGCAAATTCAGTGTGGGTGGCCGGGCAAACACTTGCCACCCAGGTTGCAGAACGAAGAGGTATTTCGATGGCGGGCTTTGCTGCTCTGTGCCTTTCAGCTATCAATCTTGTTCTTCACCGAAAAGTGAGCGTGTTTGTGTGAGAAAGTTTATCTAAAATGCAATTCATGCAATTCTGAGTCATACTCCAGTCGCATCATAAAAACCACAGTGAATTACTGTACATAAACATCAACATGACCTTGTCATTTGAGACGGAAAGGGGAGGGGATGTGGGGGAAACAAACTCGGTGCCCCATTTTTCGATTCTCAGAATGAAAATGTGTGCGCTGCTGTATTCACTCTGCCCAAAAGCACATGTGCACACAAACATGAATGCGCAGCACATGATCGTTCCAGACATGGCATACATATTTAGCACCTATGATATTATATAACTAATTAGTCACTATGAAATGCAGGCCAGTATTATGGAAGACTTGGAACTGTTCATGTGAAGGTAAACAATGATCCAAAACAGCTTTGCAATCACAAACTACTGACTAGAAAGCCATACATTTATGATGTAGGCTACGTGCAAAATATACATACAAAATAAACATTAAAATAAAATCTTAGTTTCTTAATTAGTACACTATGACCAACATTTGCCACTTTCCAACTGACTAATTGCGTACGTCTGTATCCGAGCTATGTGCTCACCTAAACTTCAAACTACAACTTAGAGAAAGATGAAGCATTTCAGGGAAATCCTAATGGCATCACTAAAGAGCATTCAGTCCAGCTGTGTTAACTGTGTATGCAGGGATCAGTGCTCTTCCAGGTGAAAGTGATGGAGGGCTTACCTGAATCCTGCAGGGATACGGTTCCAGTCAGAGCCCACATGGACAGCAGCAGCAGCAGTGCACGGTCCATCTTTGGAGCGAGGCCTCAGACGATATGAGCAAGGGACACGCAGATGCAGCATTTTTAAGGAAGGGGGGAACAAAGGGTGGGAGAGGGGGAGAAAGAGGGAGAGGTCCAAAGAGAAAGAGAGGGAGAGGTGGAGAGAGAGAGGGTACAGCCCAGGAGCACACATCTGGTTCGTGTTGAGGAGGAGAAAAGTGAGGAAAATTCCACTCTGAAGGACCTTTCACCCATTTCTGTTGAGACAACAGATAAAGGGGGTGACACATACATAACTACTGTCCACACAGAGAATTAACAAACAGGAAATGCTATAAAAGGAAGAAACTGATAGATTTGACTTTATATACTGAATGCAATATATGTGTGTGTGTGTGTGTGTGTGTGTGTGTGGGTGAGCACCAAAGTAGGTCAGTGTGGCTTTTTTAATGCTTTATCTTAAGCATAGCCCATCATATAAACTTTTTTTTATCTTACCTTATATATTCTAACTCAGTTTCTTAAACGTAGTGTGCATTTAATTATAAAATGCATAAAACACTCTTTAAATTTATTTACAGGAACCAGAACTGCCTCAGTTGGGCAAGACTTGGTATTTGAACTGTTTTGCCAATTAAGGAATGTACACAATGTACAACAAACAGGGAGGATATCAAAACAACATGGTGCATTTCACCACGTATCACAGTCTGGTTGTCAGCTTAAGTAACAAAAAACAAAAAAGTCATAGTTCCCCTGAATTTTTAACCTTTGTCATGTTGCCTTCAAAACTGGGCTTTGATTCAATTCTGGATTAGTTGAAGCAACCACAAACAGCGCAGTGATTAATGAGAACAATCTTTTATTTGTGTTTTTTTTGGGGGGGGGAGGAAATCTCATACTACATCCAAACAACCAGCACTGACTGGTGGGCTGGGCATCATCGACACTACTGATGCAGCAGGGCAGTTGATCAGTTAAGAGTCACTATAAGAGTTATCAACCACATCGGTGAAGATACAGGAGACTAAAATCCCGTTAGGAGAGCAAACAATCACTGAATGAGGTGATAAAGGCAGATAAACCAACAAGGAGCGTATCAGTAGTGTGCACAGTCCATGCACAGGTGAGAAAACGGTCATGATGAAAGGTCAAGTTGGTCTGAGTGAACATCATGTTCAAGTTACTGAGCCACGTTTGTGAAATCCCCGGTCAAAGAAAACAGAAGTCTCTGTAGAAGAAGTGGATAGATGTGGGTCCGAAGACAGGTGCAAATAGCCGAGACTGGGGTTGTTTTGTTTTGTTTTGTTTTTCCATTTGAAAAGTCTTTCTGAGGAACACTGAAGATCAAAGATGTTTCAAGGTGCAACAGATCATCCAAAGAAAGAAAAAAAAACATTCAGTAATACAGAACAACAACAATAAGAGGGATAATCATAATAATCATAACAATAATAATAGTTGTAATGGTAACTACTCATCATGGTCATTGGAGGATTAAAATCACACTATTACTAGTCGTCCCTCCCCCAGGGAACATAACATAGTGTACCATGCCCCTGTGTAGGTGTTGTTGGGTACACAGAGAAGTTCATAGATACAGTAAAAAGGAAGGAGCAATAACAGGATTGAAAAAGCACTAAATAGCAACAAGTTTCGTGGATCGACATAGGATCAACATTTTGGCTTTTATTTCTCCCAGAAATCTGAGAAATTAACACATTCCACTCAATGGGGGTACTCAACCCATCTCCTGGAATACATCAAATACACAAAATAGTAGAGGCCTATCCAATATACACAACAATTCCCCTCCCTTCCCCCCACCACACCCCTGTAATAATGCTAATTAAAGTGTGTTCAGTAAAGTAACAACGTGTGTTTTTACAGGGACGATTGATTACTACTGCAGAATATGTTACAACACTGAGATTGAACTGCTCTGTGCACCTTTCAGGTGCAAGAGAGTCACAAAGACAAAATGCATTGGGAAGAGTTTGCACATAACTGTCAAAGGACTGCCTGCAAGTGGGAGCAGACAGAAATAGAGACATCGGATATAGAAACAGGGGAGCAATTCAAAGAGAGGATGAAGAGGAGCAGAGTTACCCAGGGCATCACAACAGGCTTCCACAGGCTCGGGAAATATCTAAAAACACCAGAGCAGATTGAAAGCACTTCCACTGGGATAGTGAAAAAGTAAAAGAGCAATACACAGAAATACGGGCTAGAGGAAGATGTACCAGTCTCATAAAGTTAAAACCAAGGTAAAAAGAGCTAATATTGTTAGCAGGGGGGAGGGGGGGTGAAGTTGTTCTAATAGAAAATAATATACGAGACTGGCCAAGAGGATAGAGCTGGACTGTATACATGGTGTCTCTCATTCTGTCTCCCTCAAGCATCCCCAGTGACAGAAACATAAAAGGAAACAAATTAAGTGCTTGAGTAAAATCCACAAAATGTCGAACTACACGTCTTTAAGATAATTTTGCTCTCTATATTACAATTGTTACATGCCTTCTCAACCCTGCTGCTGCATCCTGGCTATAATTATAAACACAAAAAAACAAAAACAAAACCATCGATGGCTGACAACCTGTTAAGCATCTCCTGACTCAACTATGATAAAAAGATATTTACCGCAGCTTTCCCCCATCTCTGTGTCCCCATCATGTAGAAAATATACAAAATTATTCTGTAATTTGCTCTCCCTCTAATTTTTCTGAAGTATTATAAAAATATACAATTCTCCAATAACAAAACTCTTAAAAGTCACATCTTTCATCTGTTAAATTATTCTCTCTGTCTGCCACTTTTAAGAGCCGACACCTCAACAAAACAAGACACCTGAGCTTCAATGCACAAACCTTCTCCTCGTCTTATACATTCATCATCAACATCATCATCATTGTCATCATTATAATCATAATCAGCTTGACCCCCTTTATGTCCATCAGGTTACCCCAGAAATTCAGAGTCTTAGATTGAATCCAGCTTATATTTCTCCTCGTCCTAATTCTTCTCCGCGCTGCCATCACTGGTCAGCGAGACGGTTTTCGTATTTACTAAGTATGTTACGACACCGGCCCAGTTCCTTCCTCATCTCGGCCACTTCCTGTCGGAGGGCGGCGTTCTCTCGCTCCAGGTAGGCGGCGCGCACTGATATCTGGTTCTCCTTGAGACGGCGGGCGTCCCGGGAGCGCTTTGCCGCTTCATTGTTTTTGTGCCTCCTGGTCCAGTACTTCTCATCCTACAAAAGGACCGAAGAAGAAAAACAGCACATATGGATTATCACTTATTTTTATTGGGGAATTTAAGGATTATTAGGTATAAAATGTATAAAGAAAAGAATCAGTGACTGTTCTGACTTGTTTCTTAAGAAGTGTGTAGTGTTTTTTCTAGCCTAACTTCTACAGCTATGTGGGTGTTTGGCAATGAAAAGACACTTCTTTGTTGTTGTTGTTTATTTGCATACGACATCCTCAGAATTTGGTTACTGGTTACTGTCTGACAGCAAGTAAAGTAAGCAAACAACCTGCATGTGCCACACACAGCTGCTAAAAGACTGAATTGCTGTCTTCCTTTTTTTTTCTGGCTGTAGAATATTTTATGGACTTCCATAAACTACAGAGGGAGGATTTGCACAGTTTATAATTCTTTATACTCAGGAACAAGTCATCAATCTTATAACTTATACTGGGCTTTTTGTTTATGTAATCTCTGTTTTTATTTTGCAGCTCCCGTGTTTGTTGCTTGTGCATTATCGGATGCCCTTCATTGTGAAACTGTTCTGCCTTTTACACTGTTTTCATTAAACTGAAGTGCTAACAATGTAAAATATGAATGCAGACCCAGGCGTGTGCTCATTTCTGATAAAAATAAATATATCAGGTAAACAGCTTAGCTCTCGCCAGTATTTTCCTCAACTGATCATTTTCCATGATCATAGCTGGATAATTGCCCCATTAGTCATCGGATAAATGAATCTCAAACAATGTGGACAGTGTATTAACCATTTGAGCCTCTCAAAGCTTTATCTCTGGTAAATCTAGATAGCATTTTCACTATTTTATGACATTAAAATCATTCGATACAAATTTTAAAAATAACTGATTTAATTACTGTTTAGCTGCTTTCAAACTACTTCAGTCTCAGGGCATAAACTGCATGTAAGCCACTTGCATCAATGTTGTGAATACCTCAGCAGCCTCACCTTCATGTTATCGGGTACCAGGATCTTGCGTGCCTTCTTGATCATCGGCTGGGGCTTGAGCTCATCCTCGCTGAAGGAGTGCCTTCGCGGATCAAAGTTCTGCTCTTCCGACGTGTTGGACATAGCCATGTCTGAAGAATCCATGTCAAACATTCCAATCACATCTGGCCCATTCCCAGTGGGTGTGAGCAGAGGTGGACAGGAGGATGAAGAGGAAGAAGAGGGTGACTCACAGGAGTCATTCATTCTCCTTTGACTCCCTAGAATTAAAAAGAAGATAAACCTAAGTACAATAAACACTTTGACAGTTTTAATGGAAGACTTTTTGACACTTTTTGACAGATCAACCACAAAAACAAAAAAATATATGCAGCACTTCATGATAACCACCAGATGGCAGCAGAGAGCTACGTTGTTAATAAAACAAACATTGCTTTGGCCTTAACCAAGAGTTGGCTGGTATTCAGTGAGCTTTTACTGGCAGATAAAAGATTTCATAGTCAAGGTAATGTTTAAAGTATACTACAATAGCAAATGCAATATAATTCAATCATGTAATCTACAATTTTTTAGTGCACAGATTTGTGGATGTAACTAAGCAACAAGCTGTTAAAGCAATACCTAAATTAATTAATTGAAAGCCAATGCTAGCTGTCTCAGTAAGATTTTAGCCATCTTGTGCCAAAAACATAGCTTCAATGCACCTTGGCACAGATTACCCACATCTCTAAGACACTAATGGGGGAGTGGAAACTTTTTTTTCTTCAATATTTACCCTTATTTGTTTTGTCAGTAATGGAGGAAAGCATTTCATTATTTTAAAAAAAGTGTTCACTTTGTTGAGATCTGATCACTGATCTCTTAACCTCTATGGATGGAAGTACTATCTATCTTTTTATCAGGGTGGAAAGACTTCATCATGAGATAAAGGTAACCTCTCAGAAAAGCTGTGCCATGTCAGAAATGAGTGCAGATTTCCTCTTCATTTCTTACCCATCTGTATAATTTATTATGCATCTGTCGATAATGGGAAACTAACATCAAATTAGTTCTTTGTATGTCCCACTGAGTGTGCAACTGATAAAATAAAAACATAACCACAGTCTTGATGTGAATCCTCTGGTCCACAGGCCACTGCTTTAAGAATATATAACACACAATCACCACTACACAAAACTTCTTGGCCCAAAGCATAACTTTGACAAGTTTTATCACATGAACTACTGAGAATGTACTTGTGGACCAAAGCTAACAACCAGAACAAATGCAGATAGAAAAATCTATAAGCGGAAATGTTATATAATGTGTTCTCCCTCCTCTCCAATCCAGTTTCTTTAAGTGGGGCCGGTATAGGGTGATGTGTCAGCCCACCCCCCTGTAGGGCCAATGCACCTTACTCAACTGGCTTTTCTTTCAAAGAGCACAAGCCTCCATTTAACTTCTATGTGAATCCAGACAGCTCAGTCATCATCCTTGTTGTGAATGTATAAGCCTGTCCACATGCAAGTGAGGCAATTTAACAGAGATGTCAACTTGACTCAAAACTCCTCTATGTGTTAGCTGGATACCTAACAAGGTATCTACTTAACACAGCACTGCAGCCTCCCAAATATGGACAAATATCAAACCCAGGGTGAATATAATGAATATTTAATGTGGTTTAATAGAAAAACAAGCCGGCAGGTTGTTGGTCTGTATGTGCTGCCAGCTGCTAACTATATTACCTGTGGATCCGTAGTATAACAGAACCTACAGCATGAATAATGGCTATATAATAGACAGGTAATGTGAGGCCATATTTTGACACCAGGTGAACACTGTTCACTCACACTCCCTTGGCAATGCCTCCATACTACAATAAAACTATTTAAAGTGGTAGATACACCAGGGCACAATCAGCAGTCAGATCTACGTATTGCTGAAAGCTCTTGTGGATATGGTTAACCAAGTGTCGTGCTGCTCAAACCCAACAGCAGGAACTAGGTAGTGCCACCACCTGTTGTGGTGCTTTGTTGGAGTGAAAACCTAAAGACCCTGCAGTTTACTGCCACCTCTCACCTCTGACTTTCGGGCAGGTCTGGAACGCAGATTTGCCAAGAAGATTTGGTGCATTTTTTGTTCACATGTTTCCACCGTTAAATAACAGCAGGATTTCATTTTTGATTACATGGCCCGACATGTGCCCTCACACTTTCCAGAACTCGTACAACAGCATTCCAAGAAAGCCTGAAACCGTTGCGAAGGTAAACAGGGGTCATACTCCTTGGTTACCTAATAATTGTGCATCGTTAGGCCGTCCGATATTTTGTGAGTACATTTGTGATGTTGCAGTTTAGCATTAAAACTCTAGTTTTATAAGCTTTGGGAGGCTTAACAGGAGGCAAATAGCATCTAGACGTAATTATAAGACTTTAAACAAAGGGACATTGATCAAAAATGCAGAAGCCTTTATCATGCAGTATAAATGTCTTATCAGAGTTTATGAACGAGTGCTTTGTAATTGAAGGAGTGAATTAAAGGTCTTCAGTCAAGATCCCATAAAGTATAAAGCTCCCCTCTTGATATCAGTGCACTTATTGTCATTCATTGGTGATCATATGTTCGGTGTGAAGTCCAGCAGGCACAGGGAAACTCTTCCTGTTGTTCCCCCCCCCCCTCCTTCTCCTCTGTGGACTCCTCCTACATGTCTGCTGGCCCTGCCTCTAGTTCTCTCACTCCAGTACTCCCAGCCTCTGCACGTGTAATGACGCGTGCACATGGCTGTGGCGTGTGAAGTGGGGAGAGATTTAAAGACACGCAACCGCAAACACTCCACACACACTGCTGTCTCTCTCTCTCTCTCTCTGTGTGTACTGTTTTGACCCTGCTGCACAATCATTATTGGCCGGGAGTGAATGCTGATTGTGTTGTACACTGCAGTGCACAGATCACATGCCAAACTACACCAAACTCTCTTGTCATAGCTATGAAGTTGATTCATCAAATAGCTCAGGACTCCTTATTTTGCTTTACCTATTTCTTTTCAAGTTCTTCACTGCTCTTCAGCTTTTTGTTTTTCTCCCAATCAGTTTTTACCTTGCAGCCATGCAACCAAATGGTCATGGTTTCATGGTTAAGGTGCAAATTTTAAACTCTGTTTTCTTTTTAAAGCTTACTTTGTTTACATAACCATGTGATCTCACGGCCTCAGCTTGACCCCATAGGACAGCAAAATGTTTGATCGCCATGATAGTCACTGTGAAGCAAGAACAGTTGAAATCCTGAATCATTAGCCCACACTCCACATAACCCTGTTTACATCACAACTATTGTTATTAAACCGAAAGGTCTGCTAGTCGACCAGCAGCAGGTGAAACTTTGTCAACTCTGAAAAGCTTGGAAACCATTTTCCACGACTGTTGCTGTGAGGTGATCTTGACAATCCCTAGATAATAACCAGTCTCTGCACTGGCCATAACAAACTAGTCAATATTAGTCAACTCACCATGCAGGCAGTCGGTTCCTCCTGGAAGATTCTGTGGCTGAGCCACCTCCAGACCGATGAGAGATGGAGAAGAAGAGGTAGAAGGTGGTGAGGATGAAGATCCAGGTGGGGATGGGGGTGGTAGGCACTGGGAGCTCTGGTTGGGCACAGCTGACTGCGGGCTCTGTGAGGGGATCTGGGCTGAACAGGAGCTGTTGTTGTTGTTGTTGTTGTGCATGCTGCCCATTCCATTTTCAGTTAGAAACTCCTCCAAGTCCATATACTGAAGCTGGAAGAGGCCCCCATCTGCAGGAACAGTGCGATCCCACAAAAGAGGCCCCAGGAACTGGTTGAAGTTTCCTCCTCCATTTCCACCTCCTCCACAGCCATTACTGCTATTACTGTTGACTATTCCACTTCCATTCCTCATTGGGCACACTCCCAAGGAGTCCTCATCGAGGTCCAGTCTGTCTTTGTCTGCATGATGGGAATAAAAAGCAGACTTATTAGTGGAAGATAAAAATGACGATGCTTAGTTTTGGTGTCATTTTAACAGGTTACAGTGGACAAGAAGGTGGCCTTGGGATAGTTCACGCTTCGGCTGCTTTATGCTAAAAATCAGCTCTTTGTATTTGCACAGAACTAAATGGCACGGCCAATTTATTCAAACGATGCACTTCTACAAAATCCCCTTCTCCGCCTATCTCTCATACAATCACACAGAGAAACACAGATGGGCCCAGATGGTAGCTGAATTGCAGCATTAACCAACAGCCAAAACCGATTTGCTGTCATAACGTATACACAAACTCCAGAACAAATCTCACAATAGCCAGTGATACATTTGGCAGAGAAAACGCACCCAGAACGCATGCTTGCATGGGTTTAGATTTACAGCTAAACCAAAGCATGTTATCACCCAGTGTAATCTAGATCCTAATTTGAAGTTGCATCAGGGATTATAATTCAGCTCATCTGGCCATGGTCACTGAGGAGTCATCCTGAGCACATGTCCTGGGGCATGAAACCTTTGTGGCCTTTACATATGAAAAATTACTAATAATGGTACATATTTTTTATACAACAGTAATAGTGGATGGAAAAGATTTATCCATGCTTTTCCACTGCGTAGAGAAGAAGGCAGTTTATGCTGGTAAAGCAACACTTTGACCTTTTATTAATTAAATTCACAGAAGGGTCTCACCTTTCGAATCGCATGGGTTCTTTAAACGCTGGTCTCCTTTCATGGGGTGCTGCAGGAGGGATTTCAGACCTGCCATAGAGTTGAGGTGCCCCCCTGTCAGGGAGCCTCCAGGTTGAGTACAGCTTCCAAACTGTGGGCTTGCCCCAGCTGGGAGGTCTGGGGTCGGAAGCTGGGAGAGTTGCCTGGACATCCTGGACCAGACGGGTCGCAGAAACACACCTGGGGCACTTGAAGGGGCGAGGCGAGCTGACAGGAGTACCTACCAATGGGACAAGCAGGCTGGATTGTGGCTGTGAGCACAGGAGGGGTGGGGTGGTGGGCAAATACAGAAAGGTAGTTTTGAGACTTATCTATGCAGAATAGAGCATCTGTTATATTGTAATTACAGTCATGACATTGGCATGGCATTATGTCAGAAAGTTTAAATTACACACGCAAACTCTTACCTTTCACTTGTAGATATAAAGAGTTCCTTATTTCCCTGCAAAAATATTTTCCTCGAAGTACTCCATTGCCTTTGGATGTTGTAGATGAAGCTGTTATTCTCGGAGAACAGTGTGGGAGGGACAGTCAGACCATCTGATTAGAAATACTGTCCATAATAAAACTGCAAAGGCGTGAAAATCCCGCACGCACACTTTGCACGCACAAGGAAAAAAATATTACAGTAAAAACTTGAAGAGCGATATCCCGAGTTAGTGGTGCGGTAATTTAAAAAGAAATACTTATAATAATGAAAGAAGATCCCAGAGAGAGACTTCCTCCGTCAAAACAAAACTGTCGTGGAGAAAGAGGAGCATTAAAAAAAACAGCCAGCGACGCGAGCTGTACGTGGTCAGATGACAAGTTGTATTGCTGCTTCTCTGCTGTCGCGCTCTGCTGTCCCTCGGTGGGGAGGGGGTGGTTGGAGAGGCTGGAGGGGGTCGTTTCCTCTTTCTGTCTGTACTTTTTTTTTTCCATCCGGTGGATCCAGTCACGGGCGCACGGGCTCGGATCTGTGTTTGGGCCGCGCGACGTCCTCCTCCTCCTCCCGTTTCTCTCTCTTTCTCTCAGCTGGAATGGACACGGGCAGTTCACGTGACGTCACACCTCGAGAGAGGGGCGGGGCCCGGCTTTAACCGATCTCTCAATTTTCGCCTAAATTATTTATGAGGACACACCTACCCCTCGTGCCACACCTCGAGGGGAGCAGCAGGTTGTGTTGTTTTTCCCGACAGGTACAACCACAATTATTTTGTAAAAAAAAAAAATCAAAATCAAACAAGAAGCAGGAAATATGTAAATTAGTCTCAGCGTCACCATGGTGATGGGAAAGAAACCATGAGAAACAGCTAACTGTGCTGTAAGCTGGGGGTTAATGGCGCTTAGGCTCGCGCTCTCCGCTCATAATTTGGCTTTCTCTAATATTCAGGCACTGCTGCATGACTTTTCCAGCTTCCTTGTAATCCACGGAAAACGTGAGTGCGCCGTTTTTTCAGGCGAGAGGAACGCTTCTGCACGTTGCCTGCCGGCGTACAATAGCAGCTCAGGCTCACGTGTATGAGGCACGCGGAGACGAGGCCCGTCTGCTTACAGCTCGGGCACTGATAGGCCCGCGAAGAGCTGCTGCTCCGCCCTTGCGCCGGAGCCGATTGGGCAGAAATAGGTCGGACAAGCCCGCCCGCTCGGATTCCCTCCCGGTGCATGCTACTGCCGCGTGAGACCGAGCAGCTCGAAATACAAAAAAAGCGCGAGGGTTGTCTTGTCTACTGTACAAGTTGAAAAGCACATGCAAAACAATGCGTGCAGCAGGAATTCACCCCCTTTGATTTTTTTTCCTCCAGAGTTAGACATACAGAAGTTGACGTAAATAGATTACAGACAGACCAGCATACAAAAGACGCATTGAGTAATTGCATTTGAACAATATGCCCTGAAAATAAATAAGTGAATGCAACTGGAGGCAGGAGCACTGGAGGAGGAGGAGGCAGCCCTGTGTTCAGCCCTGTCCCGAGAGTCCCTTTTTTTAATGATTATTTTTCCGAATTAACCTATCAGACTCCAGTCTTGTCCAGCTGTGTTCTCCCAAGATTATAACCACGTGTCACCCCCACATAAAAAAAATATCAGAGTGGATGAATCATCATATTTTGTGTCTACAAGCAAGCCAGATCATCAGCATGAATTAAAACTCACAACACTTAAAGAGTTCTTAAATTAAAAATATATATCTGCAGACAACTTATGCAAAATTAAATGCACAGAATGCACAGAAATCTGCTTATAAACCACATTAATTTCCAGAGGGGAAAAGGTGCTTTTAAATTAACTATGGGTTACTGAATCTGGTCAACAATCTTTTTTGTTTCATTAATCTGGAGCAGACAGCCACACAGCACCAGCGTCTCCAGTCCACCCCCTATCGCTGTAAAATCCATGTGACTGCCACACTCATCCCCACCAGGCCAAGAGCACACCATAAATGAGTTGCTTACTGCCATCTTGTGGAGCCAGAAGTGAGTTTTGTTTTTTTCTCCCCACAACAGTCATATGTGCAAGCTTTGATCAGTAAAAATCATTCTTCATCCTGGAGGAACTTGGCTGATAACATTAGTAAGTCTAAGCACTTCAATGAGCTTTATTAGTGTACCTACATCCTGATAACCACTTAATCCAAAGATTGATGTGAACGTCATCCTTGACTTTCACATCAAGTAATAAATGCACTTTACATGCCCTGACAGAAACAACTCACTCATGTTTTTACTATTTCCTGGATATTGCAGTGAGTAACTCTGAATCAGAAATGAAAGGAAAACAAATTATTACACTTAAGGTTTATTCATTGCTGAAATATAATCAACTACTGACTTCTCAGTAAATAATGTGATAGAAATCTACTAAAACTATTATTTTTCTTTAGAAGAAAAAAACAAGGCTTGACAGGGGTATGAACATTTCATATGTGTGAATAAAGTGACAAGATGTATTTTGAACTTATTTTTCTTTAAAAGAAAAAAAAAAAACAAGGCTTAACAGGAAGAATATGATTGCAGCTCAGCAAAAAGTAAAAAGGTAGAAGGGGTAAGTATAAGATTGGCATGAAGACTGATTGGGTTACACACATAAATACATGGAATATTACATTTGTTTCTATCATGATAGGTCCTTGTTTTAACACACTGTGAAGTACTGTAGAAATAATCACTGCTAAAAAGAGCATACAAATAACATGAGATAAACATGTGTTACAGTCCACTTGTTTAACCTGTTTTCAATCTCTTGGTATAAAAGCTAGGAAGATCTCAAATAAATGAAGTAAAGTGAACATCATAAGCAAGGCTTCTTGTAAGTTTTTCGTCATTTTGGCAGGAGAGGGGTCCTTGTAATGCTAATTACCAGCAACGTTGACATTTTATCTATGTGTGATTAAATCACTAAGGAATATAGAGCAACTTTCAAATCAGGTTTACACTACAAACTTCTGGGGATATACTGAATAAACCATCACATACTGTAGGAGTGATTTCACAACCTCAGCAAAAAACTTGACCAGAGAACAAACATGCACTGACAAACTATCAACAAAGGTCTTTGTCCCCGTGTCCCTACTCCTAATAAATGCACTTTACATTTTTAAAAAATCCTCAGAACCTCTAATTGAACAACAACAAGACAAAATACACAGCAGAGACATTTATCATACAGCAAGAGGTGTAGCGGGGCTTCTAGTTATGGGTAAGAGATACATTAGCAGGTCATTTCACCTAAACTTCTCTAGTAACTGCACAGTGTCAGCCAAGCATAGTGTCAATGCACTTAAGGGGTTAATTAATGATCCTATGGAAACAGTCACGTCTTTGAAAACACCTTCCAACATAATCTGGAAGAATTTCTGGAGATATTTTATAGGACACTCTACAGTAGTTGTTAACACACTCATTCTAATAGTCAGCAGAGTAGATGCAACAGAGACACGAGGCAAATTTTCCTTAAGGCAGCAGATGCCTTTTCAAGTCCCTTTTTTTTCTCTCACTTCCTATTTTAGAACTGAAACATCCCTCTTGTATGCCACTCTCTTCAGAAACCAGGAAGCTCAGTATCTGTATGGTCCCTGTAGGAATGGCATCTCCTCATGACCCTCACGGGTCTGTCTTTCTCCCGGTCTTTTTGAAAGCTTCAGCCTCATAGCATCTCCCCTCTGCAGTCCTTTAGCCCTGCGGCGGCAGGACACTTTGTGCCTGTGAAGAAGGGTAGCGTTCCAAAAGCGAGCTGAGCAGCGTCTGCAGGAGAAAGTCCCTCTGGCACGGTGGGAAGCCCGATGAATGAAGACTGCCAAAGGCCTGTGAGACTGCTTCCCACACACACTGCACCTAAGTCGCTCCTGAGTGCTCAAGGCTTTTTGTGGGTGTTTAACTGCCATGTGGACAAGCAGCCCCGCTTTACGGGAAAACACAGAATTGGGGCATATTGGACAGCCAAAACGTTTCACAGGAACTTTGAGAGATGACAGGATCTGCACTTTCATTCCACCAGTGTTGACAAGCTTATATCCACCACCACCTGATCCTCCTCCTCGCCTAATTGTCAAACGAAGAGAGCCTTGTTTTTTATTCAACTGCCCTCTTATTGTACAACTGATCTTTCTCTTTCGTTTGATTCCATCAAATCTGACTAAATCTTGAGATTCCCATTTATTTCCCTTCCAATCTCTCCTGTTGGACTTTTTTTTTTTCTTCTTGTGTCGTCTCATGTCATCGTGTGACGACTGGACGTCGCAGTCGAGGGTTTGGTGGGGCTGGGTGCCTGACTGATGATGGGGATGATGGTGGGAGTGATGATGATGGTGATGCAGATGATGATGTTCAGTGGAGGGCAGTTCCGTGAGGGGCTGGAACGGGGCCGTGGTGTGAAGAGTTCGGCTACGGGATCCAGCTGGATATATGTGCTCTCCTTTAACTCCGGCTGGAGAATGCGGGTGTTGCGGGGGCATGACTGTAGAGTTGGGAGGAAGTGGCTGAGAGTAAGCTGGGGCCACAGAGGCAGAAGACTGAGTAGCTGCAGCATCATAAAAGAGGGGAGAATAACCAACTGGTGGCTGTGGGGGTGCTTGTTGGTGGCTATGAGTGACAACACTTAGACTTTGCCCTCCGTGGCCTTCGTTGGAAGGTGCCATCTGAAGCAGTGCATTCGTGGCAGCCTCACTCTCAGAGGTTGACTGATTAACATCACTCCCACCTCGGTTGTCTCCAGACCCACTGTTGCCTTCTTGTGGGTTAGACTGTTCAGGGCGGGTCATGCCATGCTGAGACTGCTTGTGTCGAGTGAGGCTGTTAGAGTAAGCAAACGCCTTCCCACACACCTCACAGCAGAAAAGCTTTTCACCTCCACCTTCATGGACCGTCTGGTGATGGGCAGTCAAGTGAAAGTGGTGACGGAACGACTTCCAGCATATAGCGCAGGTGTAGAGTCGAGGTGGCGGCGGGGGCTGTGGTTGGGGTGGGGGAGGAGGCTGCGGCTGGGGGTTGGTGTCTTGAGGCTTGACGTCTTGGGAGTAGGGATAATAGGAGGAGGTGCTTGGTGCTTGGTTCTGGCTCCGGTCTTGGGCCACGCTACATTGAGGATTTGGGTTAAAGCTGTTAAGGTTCTCTGGAGCCGGTGTGGTGGGCACCTCTTCCATCTCCCCTTTCTGGTGGAGTTTACTGTGCCTCCTGAGGCTCTGGGAGTAACCAAACTCTTTCCCACAGATGCTGCATTTGTAATTCTTTGCCCCGGAGTGGACTGTTTGATGCTTGCTGAGGTGGAAAGCTTCTCTGAAATACTTCCCACAAACAGTGCAGTGATGGGGCTTCTCTCCTGTGTGGATGCGATCGTGCCTGCGCAGGGTCTCGCGGCGTGCAAATCCCTTACCACAGACACTACAGAGGTGAGTGCGTGGGAGCCCGCTGGGGCCCATTCTGGGGGTGTACTGCCTACGTTTTGGGGGCTGTCCGCCAGCTGCAGGATCTTTCTTAGCTCTTGGTTTGCGGGGACGTTTTGGTTTGGCAGTAGGATTCTGCGCGTTGCTGCTCATAGCCTCTTGACTCCCACCACCTCTGAAATTCTTATCCATACCAGATGTGGATGAAGGTGAGCCCAGAGGTCCTAAACCAAGACCACCTAGCAGACCTCCTATGATGTCTCCCCTGTCATCCCCTCTATTTCCACTGTTACTAGCTGCTGTTATAGCAGAGATTGCATTATTCACAGAGCTAGTGACATCATCTTCTGAGTCATCCAGTAGAGAAGAGAGGGGCAGGTGGGGCTGTTGCTGCGGATGGTGGTGCTGGTTGTGGGTCTGTGAATGTGGATGCAGTGTTGGCGCCAGGGGTGCCTTTCTCAGAGCTGGGCCCGCCATCCCACTTCCACATGGGGAGGCACCAGAGTAGCATGGAGATGGATTACCTTGAGAACGGTGGTCATCATGGTAGCCTGTGTAACGATTCCGAGAGTAGTCAGTGGGGTATTTACCATCTGCTCTGTCCCTGTCATTTGAATTCCCTCC